CCTCCAATTCTGCACCCTTGTGAATTTCTAGTTCTAATTGCTGCATCATCAATGGCCATCACTTGAATTGCTGGGGTCCCAAATGGTGGAATTCTCCCTTGAGTCGCTCTCCCACTTTCTACCTCACTTTCCTCCTTGAGGAGACTCTTTAAAATTTTGATCAAGCTTTTGGCTTGTTCTAATTGCTTGCATCTAACTTGGTGTTGTACTTTGATCATATTCCTGTCAGCCACCTTGCATTACGTTGTTTATTTTATAGTGCCATATTAATATAAGTAGCTGTTGTTCAGAGTTCACGCAAAATCCTGGGTTCTACTATATTAAATTGATTCTGAAGGACTCTCGGAAGTACCATCTGCATTTAACACCTCTCTGAAAGAGTTATCACTGAGTTCTGTTTACCTGCCATTTTACATTTTTATCTCTCAAATATTTAGTCCCATTTGTAAAACCTATGAGGAGCCGTGTTCTTCTTACAGGCAATAGTAAGACAATGTAGATTGTTGTTCAGTGAGCTTTGCCTGAAACACAGCTATAATTTGTCTCTGTCATTGGCTAGAGTGGAAAATTAGCTTGGTCTGTAATCCTTTAGATTAAAATGAATAATATCAAAATGAACGTGAAATCTTGAATCAGATTTAGCTTTCTTTGGGTTCAGCTGATTCCAGGAGCCCGTGTTTGTCAGTGCAGGTCTTTGGTCTGAGCTGAGCTTTCAAGTTGTATTGAAAAGGCCACCTATGTGTGGAACAGCAGGAGATGGGGAACATACTAAACGAGTATTTTGCATCAATATTTATTGTGGAGAAGGATATGAAAGATATAGAACATGGGGAAATAAATAGCAACATCTTGAAAAATGTCCATATTGCAGAGGTGGTGGTGCTGGACGTCTTAAAACACATAAAGGTAGATAAATCCCCAGGACCTGATCAGGTGTACCCTGGAATTGTGGGAAGCTAGGGAAGTGATTGCTGAGCCGCTTGCCGAGATATTTGTATCATTGATAGCCACAAGCGAAGTGCCAGAAGACTGGAGGTTGTTGAACGTGGTGCCACTGTTTAAGAAAGGTGGTAAGGAAAAGTCAGGGCAGTATAGACCGGTGAGCCTGACATCGATGGTGGGCAAGTTGTTGGACGGAATCCTGAGGGACAGGATTTACGTTTACTTGGAAAGGCAAGGACTAGGGATCGTCAACATGGTTATGTGTGTGGGAAATCATGCCTCACGCACTTGATTGAGTTTTTTGAAGAAGTATCAAAGAGGGCAGAGCAGTGGACTTGATCTATATGGACTTCAGTAAGTTGTTCGACAAGGTTCCTCATGGTAGACTTCAGCAAGGTTAGATCGCACGAGGTGCGGGGAGAACTAGGAAGGTAGAAGGCAGACGGTGGTGGTGAAGAGTTCTTCATGCTGGAGGTCTGTGACTGGCAGCGGATCAAGGATGGGTGCCAGATCTGCTGCTTTTCGTCACTTATATAAATGATTTGGATGTGAATATAGGAGGTATGGTTAGTAAGTTTGCAGACGACATCAAAATTGGAGGTGTAGTGGACAGCAAAGAAGTTTACCTCAGATGGGCCAATGGGCCGAGGAGTGGCAGATGGAATCTGATTTAGATAAACGTGAGGTGCTGAGTTTTGGAAAGGCAAATCAGGTAAGGTAAAGTCGTGGGGAGTTTTGCTGAACAAAGAGACGCTGGAGTGCAGGTTTATTGTTCCTTGAAAGTGGAGTCACAGGTAGATAGGATAGTGAAGAAGGTGTTTGGTATGCTTTCTATTATTGGTCAGTGCACTGAGTGTAGGAGTTGGGAGGTCATGATGCAGCTGTACAGGACATTGGTTAGGCCACTGTTGGAATACTGTGTGCACTTCTGGTCTCCCTGCTATAGGAAAGATATTGTGAAACTTGAAAGGGTTCTGAAATGATTTACAGGGATGTAGCCAGGGTTGGAGGGTTTGAGCTATTGGGAGAGGCTGAAAACGCTGGGGCTATTTTCCCTGGAGCTTCGGAGGCTGAGGGGTGGCCTTTGTAGGTGTCTCTAAAATCATGAGGGGCTTGAACAGGGTAAATAGCCAAGGTATTTTCCCTGGGATGGGGGAACCCAAAACTAGAGGCATAGATTGAAGATGAGAGTGGAAAGATTGAAAAGAGACCTAAGGGGCAACTTTTTCACGCAGGGGTAGTGCATGTATGGAATGAGCTGCCAAATGAAGTGGTGGAGGCTGGTACAATTACAGCATTTAAAAAAGTATCTGGATGGATATATGAATCGGAAGGGTTTAGCGGTATATGGGCCAAATGTTGGCAAATGGGACTAGATTTATTTAGGATGTCTGGTTGGCATGGACGAGTTGGACCGAAGGCTCTGTTTCTGTGCCGTATATCTCTATGACTCTATGATAGAAGAAGATTACATTCAGTGAGGCTAGGTTAGGATTAGATGAGATGCCAGTGGTGGGAAATATGCTACCAACACTCACTTCTCAAGTTCACACCGTAAGTAGTTAGTGTCCATGGAACTATATTCTTGTAAGCCAATGCCTTGGGAGAAAATTCAGTGGGGTGGTATTGGTTAGGGTAGAAATTTGAAGCCTGAGCTCTTGAGGTTTGAAAAACAGTAAATATTTCAACATGTTTGTTTCAGACAAAGAAAGCCTGATCACAGACAGTGGGAAGCTACACACTCTTGACATCCTCCTAACACGGCTAAAAGCCCAGGGCCATCGTGTGCTCATTTATTCCCAGATGACACGTATGATCGATCTGCTAGAGGTAAGGAGTGATCTGGTCCTTAATCAATAAGCTGTTATTTCAAATTGCAGAAGGAAATACTTGCTAGAACTGTGACACAAATGATGCTTTTCTTCCTTAGGTTTTAGTTTGGTGATTGCATCTTCTAAACTCAGTTGTTGTGCAGAGAACCGTTGAAGTCAAAGATCTGTCCATGCAGAATTTTACATTTGTTATAAATTCACTGGCTATTGCCTTGCGTGTGAGCCTCAATTTTCAAACAGTAGTCACTTCTGAACTGTTCGTTTTTGGGATGGCTATTCCTTTTGGATTTGGAGTGACTCTTTCTTCCAAGCCCGAGTAATTTTCTATGCATGGTAATAAATTGATTGTTGGAAACAAAATCTCATGAGAGCAGACATATCACAAATCTTAGAAAGGCAATTTGGGAAATCTCAGCAGAGACTGTTTCAACTGTCTGAAAGAAAAGAGAGATGTTGTGTGCCAGAAGAGTATTATCTGCAAAAGAGTTAGTTCTTAGATGCATATGCAGCTTACGTAACTTCACCCGAGTGCATCCTTTACCTAAAAGTGAGCTGACACTCAGCTCAAAGACAGGCTTGCACTTGAGTCTATATACTAGGATCTCCACTTGTAGTGCACACGTACTGTGCATCTATCCCTCATAACCTCCCTCCTTCTCACATTCTTATTCACAGTTGGATCAGTGATGGACATTAGGAAAAGTTGTTATAATTGGCTTTGGGTGCACAGATCAGTACAGGTTTAGTCTTGTTTAATTAAGTAACAAGATAATTGGTGCATGTATATGCATTTTTAATGACTTGGATCCCAGGTCTTTTGATTTAATTTATTATTGTCACATGTACCGAAGTGAAAAGTTTTGTTTTGCTTGCAGTACAGGCAGATCATAACAATTAAAGATCATGGGTGATTGAACAGACCAAGGAATACAAAGTTACAGGTGCAAGGAAAGGGCACAAAAAGCAAGATCAGCATTAGATTTGAAATTTGAGAGTTTCATTCGGAAGTCTAATAGCAGCAGGGAAGAAGCTGTTCTTGTATCTGTTGGTACGTGTGTTTAAGCTTTTGTATCTTCTGCCTGACGGAAGAGGCTGGAAGAGATTATGAATGGGCTAGGAGGGGTCTTTTGGCTGCCTCTTCAAGGTATCAAGAAGTGTAGATGGAGTCAATGGATAGCATGCATGATGGTCTAGGCTGTGTTCATAACTTGCTGGGCAGAGCAGTTGCCATACCAAGCCGTGATGTATCCAGATAGAATGCTTTCTATGGTGCATTTATAAAAGTTTGGTGAGAGTCCTTATGGACATGCCGAATTTCTTTAGCCTCCTGCAGAAGAAGAGGTGTCGTTATGCCACCTTGACTGTCGCATCAGTATGGGTGGTCCAGGACGGATTGGTAATTGTCACTCATAGGAACTTGACGGTCTCAACCATCTCCACCTCAGTTCCATTGATGTAGATGGGGACATGCCCTTTTTGCTGAAACGTACAGGGAGTACAGTAGGGGGCTGAGTACACATCCTTGTGGGGTACCGGTATTGAGGATTGTCGTGGAGAAGGTGCTGTTGACTATTTTTTACTGAAGTCCCGAAGTCAAGGATCCAGTTGCAGAGAGCAGAATTCTCTTCACCACATGGATAGCCAAGGCCTACAAAATATGGAGGGACTGATCTACCAGTCAAGACTGTTACGCATATAATGTGGATTGATGACACATTGCTTAGTTTGGGCTAAATTTTTCCATATGGGTTGATTTTGGAGATGTAGAACGAAGTGGGAAAGGAGGCCCCCTCAGATACAGAGGAATGATGTGCCTTATGGATCTGTGCTAGAAATTATTCTTTCCATTCATGGCTGGTTAGCTGCTAATAAACTAGTAGGCACAGGAAGAGCATGTAAGAGCTTGTAGCTGGATGTAGGGGTATATGACATAAAGGAAGCAGTTACAGTTTAATGCAGAACATTGTATAAATAAAAAAACTTCAACCAGTTTGTGCACAGCAAGCTTACACAAACAGCAATGTGATAATGACAAACTTATCGGCTTTTGAGAGCCTGAAGCTTTGTGATTTAAGAGGCAAGAGTGCTACCAACTGAGTCATGGCTCCCAGGGTTCTATTTTTTTTAACTGGTATGTTTTTCAGCACTGTGCTGGGACTTTGTTGCCAGTGCAAGTGGAGTTGAGGAGTATCGGATCAGCCATGATCTCATTGAATGGCAGAGCAGAATCAGTGATCTGAATGGCCTACTTAGACTCCTGTCTAATAGTCTTAAAAAAAATTGTATGAAGACTGAAGTTATTTGTCACAGAATGTGACGCAAGCCGGCATTCCGTGCACACTTAAAGTCCTACTGTATAGAAACGGACTCAGTCCCAGCAACATCCTTGTAAATCTTTCCTGCACCCTCTCAAGTTTGATGACATCCTTCCTATAGAAGGGTGACCAGTACTGTATGCAGTATTCCAGAGGTGGCCTCACCAATGTCCTGTACAGCCTCAATGTGATGTCCCAACTCCTGTACTCAGTGCACTGACTGACAAAGGCAAGTGAGGCAAACACTGCCTTTAGCGCCCCGACAGCCTATGACTCCACTTTGAAGGAACTATGCACCTGCACCACTAGGTCTCTTTGTTCAGCAACACTCCCAAGGGCCCTACCGTTAACTGTATAAGTCCTGCCCTGGCTTGCCTTATCAAAATGCAATACCTCCAATTTGTCTAAATTAAACTCTATCTGTTACTCCTCGACCTATCGGCCCATCCAGTCAAGGTCCATATGATAACCTTGACTGTCTGCTACACCACCTGTATTGGTGTTGTCTGCAAACTTACTGTGCCTCCTTTATTCTCATCCAAATCAACTTCATAATTCCCAACTTTCTTCTTTCACGTTTTGCACTATAACCTGTTTGCTTTTCCCTCCTGCTTCTCCAACTTTCCCTTATATGCACTAATTCTGTTCCCCACAACTGATACCTATGGTAGTAAGTGCCACATTCGTGGGTTGGTTAGCTCAGTTGGCTTTATGGCTAGCTTGAATTGTTGAATGATGCTAATAGCATGGGTTCAATTCTCGCAATTCTCATCACCATGAAGGATTCTCCTTCTCAACCTCTCCCCTTGCCTGAGGTGTGGAGAACTCTCTGATGAAAGCAGCTGTATGGCCCAGTGGGACTATGCAACTTTCTTTCTTAATGGATCATATTGATTTTATTGAATTTGAGCAGGTTCGAAGGTCCTACTCCTCTTCCTTACAGTTTTATTCTCACCTTTGATTAAAAATAGTTTCTCCTGCTGTGCCTGTTGGATATTTTGGTGAATGTCTTGCCTCACAAGTGGACACACGTTCTTTTCCATCAAAACAGTTTCATACTTTACAAAATCTCTATTAGATCATTTCTCAACTTCTGAGAAGAGGCCTGGTCTGTTTGTCCTTTCTTTTGATGGATATAATCTTGATTTATCATCAATCTTATAGAATCATAGAACCCCTACAGTGTAAAACAGGCCATTCAGCCCAATGGGTCCACACCAACCCTCCCAATTGCATCCTGCCCAGACCCATCCCCCTACCCTATCCCTGCATTTCCCTTGGCTAACCCACCTAGCCTGCACATCCCTAAGCACTATGGGCAATTTAGCCTGGCCAGTCCGCCATCTTTGGACTGTGGGAGGAAACTGGAGCACCCAGTTGCATGGTTTGCACCTCTCTAATGCCCTATATTCTTTTTATAATACGGTGTCCAGAACACTACACCATACTCCACTGTGGTCTAACCAAAACTCGTTAGCCTGACTCTCTACCTTTCTGTTCTATCCTTTTTGCCTGGCTTGCATTTTTCAATAGCCTTTCATTAACTTTTTGTCACTACTATAGTTGTAGTGATTTGTGTATTTCCATTCTCCCATTCTCATTTGTCGTCTACACCATTTGGTCTTACTTTTCCAATGTGACCTCTTTACCTTTCTTTTTGGCTAGCTGAGGTATTAAGATTTGTGAAAAGTTCATTTTCTAATTAAATGGTCATTCAAGATTTTTTTAAAATGTTTTGTACTTACTTGGATTCTTTCTCAACATTGGCAATTACTTCCCAAGTCGGTGCCATTTGCAAATTTAGAAATTGTGCTTTTCATTCCAGGCTCTGTTGACCTAAATTATGAATAACTGTGATTCTGGCACTATCCTTTTTAGAGGTCCCATTATACCCTTCTGACATGCCGAATTACTATCCTTCACCCCTTGTTTGCTGCTTTGTCTTGCAGCGTTTAGGTTGGAGGCATACCTGACACACAGGAAAATACTGGTTGTGTTGGTGGGCAGGCATCTCCGCTCCAGAACATCTCTGCAGGAGTTCTTTGTGGTAGTGTTCTCAGCCCAACCATCTTTAGCTGCTTCAGTGACCTTCCCTCCTTCAAAAGGTCAGAAGCGGGCACGCTCACCATTGATTCTTGATGTTTGTTACCGATGCTGAACATTGTTTACAAGTTGGTTACAGTAGTAGGCAGCTAAGGGGAGTTAAGGCCACTAGCACAGAATCAGAATCCCTAAGTGTGGAAACAGGCCATTCAGCCCAACAAGTCCGCACAGCCCCTCCGAAGAATATCCCACCCAGACCCATCCCCCTAACCCTGCATTTCTCATGCCCAATCCACCTAACCTGCACATCTTAGGACTGTGGGAGGAAACCAGAGCACCTGGCAGAAACCCACACAGACATGGGGAGCATGTGCAAACTCCACACAGGCAGTCACCCGAGGATGAAATCAAACCCAGGTCCGCTGCTGTGAAGCACCAGTGCTAACCACTGAGCCACCTGCAAATCAGCCAAGATCTTATTCAACGGTAGAGCAATCTTGATGGGCTGGTTGCCTAATTTTTGTTACTTCAGGTAATTTTATGGGGGAGGAAACATGGGAACACATTAAGGAAATTTGAGTTTTAAAAAAATCCATAAAATTAACACGTAAAGTGATCAAAATTTTAGATTCTACAACGT